TTCAATAGAAGTTTATAATACAAGTTTATTTTGCTCACAATTTCATAGTTACGAGATTTGTCAAGATAAAAATATAGGAAATAGTAATAGATATAAGAAGCATAATAAATAAATTCGAAAATAATATTAAGAACTTGGAATCTAAATTAACCGTGAGGTGTACGAGTTAGATTTTTATCAGCTGATTGAAACCCAGCGATAGCGAATCAATCCCATGCAGCAGTTTTCCCTGTGGAATTGCCCTATTCTAGATATTCTAGATAATTTGTTAAGCTTGTGGGACATAGCAACGGTAACTAAGGGGAGTTGGAACCATGAATCATTCTACGTTGTCTAGGTTCTTCGGCATCCAAAATACTAAGATATCTTTTGATGTAAAGTAAGAACACCCGGTGCAACGGTGTGCAATGTTACATGGCAATCGATCTGATGCTGCAAGCCATGTGTCAAACGACGCAAATTTTTGCACGCAATGATGTAATACCTTTTGATGTTAAAGTACGGACACACGGTGCAACGGTGTGCAATGTTGCACGGCAATCGATGTTGCAAGCCACGTCACACGACACAAATTGTTGCAGGCAACGTTACTGAAGTAAAAATACGTCAATGCTGCTGAACCGCGTAAGCTTCAGAATGGGTCGAGAGGAGAGGTGATGGAGGTCAGTGAAGCCACAATCAAGTTTCACAATAAACGAAATAAATGACCTATAAATCGTGCAATGTTTTTCTATTCCAGACCACGTGCCTTTCCCTAGCGAATATGATTTAACAACTTGACGTCAGATTTTTATATGCATGTCCTCTTATTGACAATAAATTGCGTCATCACATTGTCAAAGTAGTGTGTGGATCCACGAGGCGTAGTCTAGTAGATCCACATACTAATTTGACAATGTGATGACGAAATTTATTGTCAATAAGAGGACAKRCAYATAAAAAACTGATGTCAATTTTTTTTTACAATAACAAAAACGATAAAAACTTCTCATTTTTAGCGATCAAAACAACCAACGGAAAGAGGGCACACTCCTTCACGTCAGCTTTATCTGTCTGTCCTCTTACTGATGATAAGAGATAACCAATTAGCGCGCGAGAAATTTGTAAGTTATTGTAAAATGGGAGTTTAATTCATGCATGTGTATTCTAGATCTCATGCGCAACCTTTCAAACAAAGAAATAATACTCTAGGGAATGATACGTGGTCTGTATTGGGAAAGCACTGCACAAGAYGAATTAGCTCTACTAAGTGCATTCCCCACACTAAAGATAGGAGTGACTCATTTTAAGTTTCGTTGTTCTTCGAAAATGACATTTGAAATTATCTACCCTGAGATTAGGAGGTTTATAGGCGATGGATTTGAATCCTGAGTCCCGAGTCTAATTCAAAGTAGGTCTACCCACCACCCCTAAGGCTACACATTGCCATGATTCTTTGTTTGACTTTGTTGGTATCCCGTTTATTTTACTGCCATCAATTATCCAAGCCC